TTTCCTATTGTTAAATAGTTGTTCAAATTTTGGAAATTGTAAGACAATTCGGGGGCAAAAACAATTGATAGTCCTGAAATAGAGTATGCCAACAGTTAGTATACTGCAAATAACTATTCTATCAACAAGATAAAAATAATGTGTGTTTTTACAAGTGTTTTTTATATATCAATCCAATGGCATGTAACCTAAAATTCAGCAGTGTCTGTGTAATGAAATACACCCTTACTTCTCAAATATGGTCACCTCGTTGTCAACAGTAAATTTAGCTACGTTTATGATCCATTTATTGCCGTATTTCAGCTGAGAATTCATTTAAGACAATGCAGTACGATAGACTTACCTTTGAATTTATGATATATTCTTTTAAAATGGTCACCAAAGCTCTAAATATGGCAAGCCAACTGTAGCAATATTCAATAAACACATTCAACGTCAATTCAATGGAAAATTCAACGTCAATTCAATGAAAATTCAATTTCAACAAAAATTCAACTTCAATTCAATGAAATTTCAACTTCAATTCAATGAAAATTCAACTTCAATTCAATGGAAATTTAACTTCAATTCAATGGAAATTCAACTTCAATTCAATTGAAAATTCAACTTCAATTCAATGAAAATTCAACTTCAATTCAATGAAAATTCAACTTCAATTCAGTTCAAGAGTGAGCACAGCGAAGGAGTGAAATATCATGTTCAACACGAGAAATAAATCTGGTATTTTGAAGCATCCATGAATTTTTCTGTTTATTATATAAAGTGCAGTCTTTGAAAAGCCATAATTTTTACAGCAAAGTGACAATTGAAAAGCCATAATTTTCACATGTGAAATTGTCACAAATAATCTCACATGTACTAGATAAAACATAAGCAGCCGATCTGTATCTGATATACAAACTCGATGACCCATCTTATCAGTTTTATGATACCACTATACTTAATTAATATAATATTTTAACTTAAACTGCTTTTTAAGTGGTCAAGTGGTACAAATTGTCACAATTGAGTGAGTGAGGTAATTTAACATCACTATGTTGAAAGATTAAGCGCTTTTTCGTAGGCAGTTTAGTCATATTCCTCAAAAGCACCTGGTCTTATTGTTAAGGCGACACTCAGCCAGGAAACTGCCTGTATATTTAGTCTTTTTGCAGGTAGCCAAAAAAATTTTGCAATTAGTTTGTGGAAAATTTTAAGAATTTTTTTAGTTAGTATGCATAAAACTTCAGAGTTCAGACATGTTGAAGAAGGTTTGGCTATTGTCAATTAACTTAATTTAGCCTGCGAACCATGCACCTGATTATATATACCATTGTAGACAATTTTACTTGTCAATGGGTGAGCTCTAGGAGGGTTAACATTAACTTATAAAAAGTGCAGTGTACAGTACATGCACTGCAAATAGTGCTTAAATCTCCAGCTTCATTGGTTCACAACAAATGGGATAAAGTCTATAATCGGATAATGGCAGATATTATTTGGCTTAATTTTGCCCCCAAGGTAAGATGACATGATGCAGCATATTAAAGCATGACGATTTATTGTTCGTTTGACACAACATATGACTTCAGATTATATGTATACTTTCAGCAAATTCAATGTTCCTATTATTTGTAACCAACTCTAATTCTACGAAATTGTTGTACACGGCACACAACACTAACTGCAACATGTACCTAGCCATACTGGCTTACTGTAAAAAGACGAAATCATTATATAATGCATGTAATTTGTTATCTTTCAGAAACATTGTCCAAACAGTTGAAGAAGTACCAAAACCAAAGAACCTGTGGGTTTTAGAAGAAAACAAAGGAGAATCTAGAGCAAGCTTCCGAGGTCCATTGGAATCAGTTGCATGTGATTGTGTCGATTATTGTAAAAGTAATGACATTACAAATCTGTAGAAATCTTACGTTATGTCCAAAGTTGTATTGTTACTGGCAGGCCATTGGATGTACAAGATGTCACTGTCAGCTTAGAAGGTGAAACTTCCTACATCTTAATTAATAGATACGATGTTTTAAAAACTGCACTTGAAGAAGTAAAATCCATTGAGAATCCAAGAGTAACACTTGAAGTGTCTTTTGATAATGAGACTGCTCAGGATAATGGTGGACCCCGCAGGGAATTTTTCCGCATTTGCTTAAAAGAAATCAAGACTACATATTTTGATAATGGCCTCAAAGCACATCTTGCGGACGACTATACCATTGTTGGGTTGATAATGGCCCTCAGCACCTTGCAGAACGGAGCTATTCCAAGGTTTCTAAATGAGGAAGATCTCCAGGCACTGTTTTCACCAAAGACGCCCACCAATCTGTGCATTGCAAAGCTTCAGAATGGTTTTGACATGCTTGGTCTTTGTCAAATAGGACATTGTTTACCAACATTCCAAAATTTGTTCAGAGCTGCCCCTGCTGCTTCATTGACAAGAAGAAAATTGACTGAAGTCGACTCTAATGCATACCGCCGTGAAAATGAAATCTACGCATTATTTGCCAAGTATACCAGAAAAGCCGCAAGTGGACAACGAGGATCAGTAACCCTGGAACATATCCTTCAGTTTGCAACTTGTAGTGACGAAGAACCACTTCTTGGTTTTGCTGTACACCCTTGCATCGAGTTTGTGGATGCATCATTTGAAAGCAATTCTTGTTGGTCATACCCATAGAAATAATAGATATAGAATGCGTACTTGATCACGAATCATGTCTCCACTTTTTCTCATGCGTGCCCTTATAAATCCGCCATGTTTGGATTTGACTAGGAGTGCAAACTACAAAGTATAAACAAAGCTAAAACTACGTTTTCATTGTCAAAACGTTTATCTTGTTGTCTAATTTGTAGTTTGGGGATAGATTTTGAGTTTTTTGAAGGCACAAACTGTCAAAGCAAATGTGCAGTTACAAAAACGGTGAAAATCGTGCAGCCTTGTAAACAAAGTATTTTCGCCGGTTTCTCAAAATTTACTCATAAAACATTTTTGCATGCTTTGAACGTCACTACTGTCACTGTTTTGCTAATTTTATATAATATCTTATAAGATTACAAAATGGTAGTTCTTTCTTCGTCGGGTTTCGTTTTTCTTTGATGTAAACGAAGGTTTTTTATTTTTTTGAAACAAGGATCCCGATCAGCCTGGGAGTCTGGGAACCAAAATGCCCTTATAAATCCGCCATTTTGTGGAGACAAATTTTTCACTGAGAAAAGATAGGAGTACGCATTCTATATCTATTATTTCTATGGTCATACCTCCCAACAGCCAACACGTGTGCAAATACTGTGTACATCCCAAAGTGTTCAGACAACAATGAAGAAGAACTCTTTCACGCTTATGATTGTGCCTTTGCGAGCGCTTACTTTGGACACATGTGAATGGAGAGATTTTGTTTAATCAAAAACCAAAACATGACAATTGAAGGTTACTGGGGAGTTTTAACTCAATATGAATACTTGTGTTTAGATTGTTTAGTTATGCTGAAACTGTTGGTCTTTCCTATTGTTAAATAGTTGTTCAAATTTTGGAAATTGTAAGACAATTCGGGGGGGGGGGGAGTTCGGACAACCTAGAGGACTTTGACTACATTAGCATAGAATACTAACCTATTCAGAAAGTCATCTCTATTGTGTTTTGCACACGCGATGTTTGTCATCTATCCGCTCCTTGGCAAGTGCCCTAAACAGAAGCAGGTTAGTATTCGGCGCTAATGTAGTCAAAGTCCTCAAAAGCACACCCCCACCCCCCACCCCAAATTGTCCTAAAATTTCCAAAACATTTCACATAGATTTCATATTTTAATATTTTGCATTTTTCCTGTAATTTAAATTTTCGGTGGTTTCTACTGCTACTGTTTCGTTTCGGCCTCTTCGTTTCGGTGGTTTCGTTTCGACGTTTCCCCTCTTAGTACATGCCGATATATGCAAGTCAGATTATAATAGATTATAATATAATATGATATACTTTTGTACAGTTTGCTAATGTAAATAGCCTTCACAAGATGCTAATTTTCTTGCTGATTAAAGAGTTATTTCTTGCAGGGTAAGCCACAAGAAGTGGCACAAAATCTGTTAATATATAAAATGCCATGACAATATTTGTTGATCATTTTTGTGCTTTCTGCATTGTGACCTCTTTAGTTACAACTCTGGAGATATTGAAGGGTGAGACTTCTCAGCAGTAGTACTTTAGGCGTAGAACACTCCTTGTTCCACCTCCTGTGCATGTTAATATCACCATGTCAGGCTAATATCACTTAAATTGTTATTTATAATATAGCATTTGTAAATTCTGAACGCTGATTGGCTAAGAGCCGTGTTGATATAACTCAATGTCAACACGGGAAATTTTCCGCCGCTTGTAAACACGGAAATTTTTCTTATCCTTCGGGCTTTTGACATTGCTATATTATAAAAAAAATATAAAACATTTTTTCCGTATAATGATATATAGTTATATCAACACTCGTGGAAGTTGGGAAAACTCGAAATTGTATGAAAACACTCCGCCCTTCGGGCGTCGTGTTTCCATACAATTTCTCGTTTTCCCAATTCCACTCGTGTTGATATAACTGTATATCAACACGGAAAATGTTTTATATTTGTTAAATATTGTTCAGAATAAATATCAACACAATCAAGTATTTGGTGACACGGACACAATTATAGCAGGTGAAAAGCTAGCCATGGCAATGTGAATCTACAATACATTTTTAAAGATAATGATTTTGAGACGGTCGTTGGAAATATTTATTTATCACGAGTTTTCTGGCAGCCGAAAGCTTGTGATAAATAAATATTTCCAACCAGAATGCAAATCAGTAAAAATTTGCCTAGAATAACGTGTTGCTATGGCTAGCTTTGCCACTGGTTATGGTCTATAGCTATTACATCTATGATTAAATGTTATCTTGGATGATCTGGTGGATCATTTCATAAATGTCTATTCCCATTTCGGTTGATGGCATTAGGGGGTCGATCCTATCCTCAACATATGATTGAATAAGCTGATTGTCCCCAGGTAAATTAACTGGAGGAACCACCACATTGTTATCACTATCCTCAAAAGGGGATGGTGCTGCTGGATCAATGCCATACACTGCTAGATCATCAGGGTCTTCATCCAATTCCCCGTGTGCTAATGGGTTGTTTGTATTAAGCATACCATTTACCCACATCTGATATGGAGACCAGTGATTGGCCGTTCTTACCCGGTGATGATTAGAACCCTCCAAAAACTCACGAAGAGCAAAATTTATTCTTGGAATAAATGTCAAATGAAGTGCAAACAAATCGATAGGGCTGTTGATGTTAAGTAAACCAGCATCTTCCATTGCATAAAATATATAATAAAAAAAAAGCTACATACACACCTAAACACATCTCTCCAAAGTCTTTCAATTCTCTGGTTTCTTGTGGAAGGGTCCGCAATAAAACTTCCCCTGCCTTCACCTCTTGCACTCACCATGGCATCGCATACCAATACGTTTTCCACCCCATGGTCAACGCGAATACGTGATGGCCATAGGCCATCTTTCTCAATTGCATTCATGAACAGTTCCAAAACAGTTTGCGAGAGGTTGTTGTTACTGCATTTCAGGAACATGATTCGTCTTGAAAAACCATCAATGCACCCGTGCACCACAAGGCCCCAACGAATAAGAGAGTGGTGACCATCCAAATGCCACAATGAATTGGGCCACGGTACTGAGTACTTTCTACGGGCAATAACAATTCCCCATCGCAAAGCAGTATTTTGAGGGTCCACTCTGGTCAAACTTTCGCGAACCCGTCTTCTCTGTATTCGTAATCCGAGTGACCTCAAGTAACCTGCTAAATACGTTCGTCCTGTTGTGAAACCATGACGACCTAAATATTCTGCGACTATATCATCTATTTCTGCATCTGATAATGCACCTATCATTGTTTTCCCCCTGGGGGGGGGGGGTGCGGGCGACCCAGGGGACTTTGACCACACTATGAAGCCCTAGTGAGGGGAATTTGACCTATGCATCAACTCTCAGAGTCGGGAAATTTTGACATCCGCCATCTTGAAAGTTTGCGCGGTTTTGACATTGAAAGGCCTGCTAACAGGTATGGTGGAGAAGCACGATCAAGTTTCATCGAAAAAGGTATTTTATAGCCTTTTATACACAGTGTCTCAATTTTTACCAAGTTTAAACCAGTATAGACTGTATTTTCGCATTGGAAAACATGTGTGTGCCTTGTTATCTTAGGAATATAGTGGGGAATTTTGACAGCCATTCCTTGCCCAACAGTGGGGATTTTGACAACAAAATTTGAAAAATGTCAAAATTCCCGTGGGTTGCCCGCACCCCCCCCCCTCAGGGGGAAAACATTGATAGGTGCATAACAAACTGAACTGTTGCATGTTTTGCAAGCCATATGCCTGGACTCGGCGATAGACAGTCCATCGAGAAACCCCAAAGAACTGAGCAATCTTTTGCCATGAAAACCCAATTCCACGAAGATCTTCCAAGGTTTCTGCAGGAATATAAAATGATGGTCTTCCTGGAGCTCCAGTTCTAACAGTGTCACACTGTCGCACAGAAATCGAAGATGGTCTCAAAGTTTGCGTTTTAAGATGCTCTTGTAACTACGAATAATAGTGCAGAAAATACCTGGGCCAAGGCTTCCCATTCAAGCCGATCTTCCTCATTTGACTCAGCAATAGATCTCAGCAGGTTAACAGTTTTATCCACAACTACATACTGAGCTTGTATATGACGTGTATACGTTGTAGGATTGTCAAAACATTCCTCCAATTTGTCTAGCACCAAGAACAGAAAGGCAGGTAAACCAGCTTCAATGTCAAACTCGTCAAGCTGTACAAGTGTTTCTTCTTGAAGTTCGGTCGCCATTTGCAATTCCCTTGAGCCCGCGATCCCGGATGTCATAAGCCGGAAGTTTCATTGAATTGAAGTTGAATTTCCATTGAATTGAAGTTGAATTTCCATTGAATCGAAGTTGAATTTTCATTGAATTGAAGTTGAACTTTCATTGAATTGAAATTGAATTTCCATTGAATTGAAGTTGAATTTTCATTGAATTGAAGTTGAATTTTCATTGAATTGAAGTTGAACTTTCATTGAATTGAAGTTGAATTTCCATTGAATTGAAGTTGAATTTTCATTGAATTGAAGTTGAATTTTCATTGAATTGAAGTTGAATTTTCATTGAATTGAAGTTGAATTTCCATTGAATTGAAGTTGAATTTTCATTGAATTGAAGTTGAATTTTCATTGAATTGAAGTTGAATTTTCATTGAATTGAAGTTGAATTTTCATTGAATTGAAGTTGAATTTTCATTGAATTGAAGTTGAATTTTCATTGAATTGAAGTTGAATTTTCATTGAATTGAAGTTGAATTTTCGTTGAAATTGAATTTTGATTGAATTGACGTTGAATTTTCCATTGAACTGAAGTTGAATTTTCATTGAATTGAAGTTGAATTTACATTGAATTGAAGGTGAATTTTCATTGAATTGAAGTTGAATTTTCATTGAATTGACGTTGAATGTAGTTATTGAATATTGCTACAGTTGGCTTGCCATATTATGGGGTTAATTAAACCATGTTTAATGCAATAATGGACGTTCTTATGGTCTCACTTAAGCCTACACTGTAAAAACTGATAGGTTAAAACAACCTATTTCTAAAGGTTACAACCAATAATTAAAGGTTGTTTTAACCAATTGAATGGGTTAGAACCGATTTAAATTAGTTAAAATAACCTATTATTATCAGGTCAAATTTTGCGACCAATAAAAATAGGTTAATTTAACCAATCTTTTTGGTTAAGCAAATTTACCGATTGGTTATTATTCCCAAATAGGTCATTATAACCATTATGATTAGGTCAAAATACTGAAAACTAAACTAACCTATATGAAATATGTTGAAATATTTAGTTCGACTTATGACATATACTTTCGGCAATTTCAAGGAGTTATTCTCACTTCACTCATTTAAAAGCCATTTATTAAATCGTATTGTAGAAGTGAAATAGTGAGTAATTTTCCACCAAGTTTTTACTCGGCCTGTGTATTATAACTCGACCATTACACATAGGAATGACAAAAACTACCTAGGGCGATATTTTCTATACAAATTCGTAGTGAAGGACTGCAGTTCGTGTAAAATCAACCCAAGATTTAATTCAGCTGGTTGACGCGCCGTTTTTCTCGAATATTGCCAAGTCAGATTCTTGTAGTTGTATTACAAGTATATCGGACCATATCGGCTTCTTATTGTTCGATCGCACGCGACGATCGAATGTAGCCAGAAATTGTCAGCGAGTTTTTCTTGTCAAATTAATTTAACACCAGCATTGCTCTCATCTATATTTTTTGCTGCGTATAAATCTCTATTATAATTACCCGCGTTTGTCAGAGATTCTGTAATTTGAACTTGTGGAATGTTTTGCTTGCTGAATAACAGGGTGGACTTTCGTCGACGCTGCATAAAAATAGTGCGGGCTCGTGAGCTTTTTCCCGCGAATTTCGCTTTTCGATGTTTGGGTTACAATTTCTAAGGGTGTTGAAGTTTACAGCATTGTGATTCACTGGTTTTTTAAAGTATCTGGGTTTTTATTGTTGGAGGTTCTAGCCTAACTCTTCAACAACCTAATGACTGTTTTTAAAGCAAAGCAATTGAAAGGAAAACTTATATTTTCATACGAAGAAGATGAGTGGTGATATTTATGTTGGACTGTTTTGAGCAGATGCTTCGAAGAACATGATATAATCGGACCTTGTATCTTAAAAGTGTACTTGGAACAGCCGAACAAAGTGGTAAATTTTGTTACCCGGTGTGTTGGGCATCATAATTCACAGGAATAGTGCACAGCAGGGTTTAAACTGGCTATGAAATATCCTGAATACTTCGTCGAGTTCTCTACCGCCATGTGACCTGTAGTTTAATGTGACACGCGTCTTTGAAAGGGCTTTACTTGAATTTAATCGACGTGTAAGGTATAACTTAGGTAAGCCAACATTTCTTTGTAATGCAAGCTACATTTTCATATCTTTAATGTGTGAATATTTTTAATTTTGTAAAAAATTAATCGCAATATGTTGTTGGAAAAAGTATCAAGTGCTTCATAATAACGCTCAGATCTTGTATACAGATATTCGTATTTTATTCAAAATCTACCCTTTATCACCACTTTTTTTATTCTTTTATGTTAAAGTATACATAATCCTTGACTTAAAAACACGATGATCTACTCGAGGAAAATTGGGCAAAGGGCCGATCTTTGCAGAGAAACTTGACCGTTTGGTGAAATTGGTAGTTCAGAGACCCTATTTTCATTGTAGTATTTCGTGGCAATTTGTTGGCCGATTTCTAGTTTATATTGTAGAACGGGTTCCTAGTGAGTTAAATTAATTGTCTATCCTCTACAGAGTAGTAATAAGCGCGACTCCTTTTTGTTGACGGATGTTGAGTTCATTTTAGACTTTTGTTCATAAACAACTACACTACCGAGTACTAAATCACTGTTTGCAAAGAACTGAGCCTATATCACCACAAAAATTCAAGCTTATTTTTAGAGTCAAATAGTTTCTCCATCGATAAAAGTAGTTTTTATGGAGTGAAAAATAGGGCAAGTACGAATTTAAGGAAGGTCAATTTGCACTTGTATATCTCACTTCGAAAAGGATATACATATTAAAAACAGGTATATTTGCACTGCGAAATTAAACTGCTGCAACAAAGTTTTTATTTCTACTTTCACGTTCTTATTCCTAAGCAAACACTTCTAAGTTGGAAATGCCTAAAATTGTGAGCGTAGAAACACTAGAGAAACAAGAAAACGACTTCATAACACGAGTAGTTTTGGCAAATTTGATGTTTGTTTTTATAATTCAGTCACGCGATTAACCCGCGCTCACGTGCACTCCACGCTTACGTTTCTCGCGCATGCGTAGACGAAAGTCCACCCTGTTCAGCTGTTGAACAGGGTGGACTTTTGTCGACGCTGCATAAAAATAGTGCGGGCTCGTGAGCTTTTTCCCGCGAATTTTGCTTTTCGATGTTTGGGTTACAATTTCTAAGGATGTTGAAGTTTACAGCATTGTGATTCATTGGTTTTTGAAAGCATCTGGGTTTTTATTGTTGGAGGTTCTAGCCTAACTCTTCAACAACCTAATGACTGTTTTTAAAGCAAAGCAATTGAAAGGAAAACTTATATTTTCATACGAAGAAGATGAGTGGCGATATTTATGTTGTACTGTTTTGAGCAGATGCTTCGAAGAACATGATATGATCGGACCTTGTATCTTAAAAGTGTACTTGGAACAGCCGAACAAAGTGGTAAATTGTGTTACCCGGTGTGTTGGGCATCATAATTCACAGGAACAGTACACAGTGGCGTTCGAACTGGCTATGAAATATCGTGAATACTTCGTCGAGTTCTCTACCGCCATGTGACCTGTAGTTTAATGTGGCATGCGTCTTTGAAAGGGCTTTACTTGACTTTAATCGACGTGTAAGGTATAACCATAGGTAGGTAAGGCAACATTTCTTTGTAATGCAAGCTACATTTTCATATCTTTAATGTGTGAATATTTTTAATTTTGTAAAAAAATAAACGCAATATGTTGTTGGAGAAAGTATCGAGTACTTCATAATAACGCTCAGATCTTGTATACAGATATTCGTTATTTATTCAAAATCTACCCTTTATCACCACTTTTTTTATTCTTTTATGTTAAAGTATACATAATCCTTGACTTAAAAACACGATGATCTACTCGAGGAAAGTTGGGCAAAATGGCGATCTTTGCAGAGAAACTTGACCGTTCGGTGAAATTGGTAGTTCAGAGACCCTATTTTCATTGTAGTATTTCTTGGCAATTTGTTGGCCGATTTCTAGTTTATATTGTAGAACGGGTTGTTAGTGAATTAAATTAATTGTCTATTCGCTACAGAGTAGTAATAAGCGCGATTCCTTTTTGTTGACGGATGTTGAATTCAATTTAGACTTATGTTCATAAACAACAACTACACTACCAAGTACTAAATCACTGTTTGCAAAGAAATGAGCCTATATCACCACAAAAATTCAAGCTTATTTTTAGGGTCAAATAGTTTCTCCATGGATAAAAGTAGTTTTTATGAAGTGAAAAAATAGGGCAAGTACGAGTTTAAAGAAGGTCAATGTGCATTTGTATGTCTCACTTCGAAAAGGATATACATATTAAAAACACGTATTTGCACTGCGAAATTAAACTGCTGCAACAAAGTTTTTATTTCTACTTTCACGTTCTTATTCCAAAGCAAACACTTCTAAGTTGAAATGCCTAAAATTGTGAGCGTAGAAACACTAAAGAAACAAGAAAACGACTTCATAACACGAGTAGTTTTTGCAAATTTGATGTTTGTTTTTATAATTCAGTCACGCGATTAACCCGCGCTCACGTGCACTCCACGCTTACGTTTCTCGCGCATGCGTAGACGGAAGTCCACCCTGTTCAGCAGCTGGGAAATTTGTTGTCGCTGTGCAGAGAAATTGCTGGCGCACGCGATATTTTACAAAAATTCGAAAATTTGAAAAAACAACACGAGTGAAATTTCAACTGATGATTTTGCATTTTTAAGACGGCGATCAAGGAAATTAAATTGTAGGAAAAACTTCACTAACATCTCAAGTATGGAAAGCATCTACATTATCAGCATTTTAATTTTGGATTGATTCAAAATTCAGGCGATAAAGTTACATAGCTAGGAGTTGGCTTTTGTGCTCTTCGAATATCCATTTTCATTCGCGGATTACCACAACTTGTTGGTCTCATGGGTGCCAAAATCGACATAAACGTAAACCGGTAACCAAGAGCTATAAAACAAATAGCTTTTCAAAACGATAAACTTTATTCAGTCAAAAGGATGAGGGTAAATAAACATGCTACTGCGTGATGGTGATTTTGAAGCAACTTTGTCACATATATTTTAAAAAGTGGGATAATGAATCAAATTTTGCTTTTTTCAATCCCAAAAAGGTATGAAAATTATTTAAATATTTAAGGTTTCCGTGTTTATAATGTATTTTTTGAGAAAAGTAAACATTTTTCCGATAAAAAAGCATAGTTTCTGCAGAAAACTGTTTTCTGACATAGAATATCCTGGGAGAGGGGGTATAGAAGCGTGGGCGGATAGCAAAAAACTTTGACGATTTCACCAAAAAATTAATACCAAATTTTGTTTTGCCTTAGTTTGATATGTAATTTAAACAAGTTTTTTTACATCTAAAAATTGCCCCTCGTGATCAAAACTTGGATTATGTTCGCAGTATTGTCTATTTGTTTACTTCTGGAGATCAAAGTTTGAGGTCCAATTATTTTTAAAGTTTGCAAACTACCCAGCTAATTCTTGGCTGTTGTTTGCAGCCTTGTATGCTGATTAAAATTTAGTTTAGTCCACAATAGTAGATCCTTTCAATGAAAGGAAATTAAAAATAGTATATTTGATTACTTTTACAGCACAGTTAGTACATAGGTAGGGTGCAATACCAGGCCAAATTGCAAAAAAATTTACCGAAATCTCCAAATTTAAAATCATATTTTTTTGCTCCCAAGGCACATAGGAAACATATTTAACAATGAATTTTGTTCAAAAATTGCCCCTTTGCGTCTAATTTCGCTTTGAAATGCGTGCGTTTACTGCTCTTGTATGAGATAAGAGTTCCAAAACATTCGAACTACTGAAAATGTAATGAAATCGACAACTTGACCTTGCCCTTGGCCTTAAGTCCTTGTACTGCCTCAGCACTGAAATGTTTTTATAACAACGACAATTTACCAAGTTTCTTGGATATTTTCCTTGTTTAACTAGTAGAACCGAACATACAAGTGCATTGAAGACTAAGCGAGAGTTTTGTGTAGAAATGCTCTGTTTACGGGAAGTTATTCTGCATTCGCAAGCGTCAACAAAAGCCGGCATTTTCACAGTTTGATTATCATGTCCATAGATAAAAGCTTTAAAAATTCAATTGAAAACATTTTAAACCACCCGTATTTCTATAGAATATATGTTAGTGGTATTAACATTGAACGTCTTTCTGTTTGAACCCAAATTCGCACTTGTTTTGCTTTTGACAAGGCAGTCAAGCTTGCGACTATTGGCAGGCATGACTGCAGAATTAGCGTGTCAAATGTCTTCTTGTTTGTGTCAAGTTTATAATATTCTATTGCTGTTCAAACACAAACGAGATATTCTATACACTGGAAACGTAGAGTACATTTTACTTTGTCTTTGTCTCGAGCAAAAAAATTATAAAGATTAAACAGGCATTCAAAAATATACAACAACCACGAACATCTCGTTATTTCTTCGGGAAATCTTCAAGTTTCAATGGAAATCTGGCGCATGCGCAACAAATTTCCCAGCTGCTCTGGTGACCCCCAATTTTTTTTGTGCATTATTTTACTTGGACAAAAAAACTAACATAAGTTCTTTGTATGTTTGCATGGCGATAAAACAAATAATAGTTTTGTTTGTGGAAACACCACGTAAATTTATTACTGCAAAGCTTTCAATCCGTATTAAAGCCTGGATCTTCATCAGTGCTATTTAGCACGGATCGAAAGCTTTGCAGTAATAAATTTACGTGGTGTTTCCACAAACAAAACTATTATAAAAAACTAAGTATAAAAAAAATTGTGTAATGCCATTTTTTTGGAAAATGCGAAAACGTTGTACTCTTCGATAAAATGTTTTTGGCAAAATGAAAGTTTTTATAATGAACGTTTTTAGCAGTGCAATACAGCATGCAAAATTTGAATATAGATTACCAGACAAAATAGAGAGATATAGCGCATTGTTTTTCTAAAATGGAAAATTCTAATGACGTCAGCAATTTTCATTTTGTTAATCAGTTGATACCTTTTTTCAGAAAGCGGTATCAATTTCCCGGGGTTGATACCTTTTTTCAGAAAGCGGTATCAACTTCGCAGGGCTAAATTATCCGCATTTCACAACATTTCGCAACGAAATTTCGGAATATTACTAGTTTTGCGATGCTGTTTCAAGCCGTGGTAAAATTTTTGTCCAGACGTGTCTGGATCAAAATTTTGTTCATTAGGGAATAGGTTCATTAACTGTGCCGATATTATTTGGGCGGTATACATTAATAATCCACCGATCTTGCGCCTACACGGTTTATTGAGATTTCTAATGTGTTTCTTGGTTAGCTGGTAGTCAGATTCTGCCTGAAACAAAATTCCAAGGCGAAACACGTTCTATATATAACAGCCAATGTGATCATCCAAAGTCGTCTTTCTTCAAGCTCTGTGTTAGAATGCCGTATTTCTATTGAGCAGTCTCTTTTATACCACCTCTACAAAACAATGCTATATAATCGTCCGTATTGAATTTTAGTCTATTTGAGCGTGCTACCCAAGTTTCCTTATAAATAGACCTTGATACATTATTAACCTATACCTATCTTGCGCCTGCACGGTTTATTGAGATTTCTAATGTGTTTCTTGGTATAGCTGGTAGTCAGATTCTGCCTGAAACAAAATTCCAAGGCGAAACAAATTCGACCTGCACTGGATCGCCACTTTCAGCCATATTAAAGAAAATAGAGGCCATAATTTTTGGTTTTATATAGTTTTTTGTTACAACAAGTTTATTATATCAAATAAGCTAACACACCACACAAAACTGACTAACATTCAATATTTTCATATTAAATTAAGCGTTAATTCTATAAGTTTCTACTCCTTACTTTTGTCTACATGCTTTGTGATAGTCAGTCTTTTCAGTCTTGTAATAGTAAAACAGCTGAAAGTCTGAAATTATAGTTCAGGTAATGGTTGCACTACAGGATGGTGTCGTACATTACGCTGGTTTTCCTTGCATAGATCACGGGTCTCCATAAGTTGTCTTTCTAACTTCAATACTTTTTTCTTCAAAAAATCTAGCTCCTGAAAAATGTTTGTAATATCAGGATGAATGATCTTCTGCTCTTCTTGCCTTATGTCGTGTTCCAATGATGCCATGCTGGTGAGGAATTGATCCACGTTCTATGTATACAATATTTCGAATTTCCATGCAACAGCCAATGTGATTATCCAAGGTTGTCTTTCTTCAAGTTCTCTGTTAGAATGCCGTATTTGTATTGAGCAGTCTCTTTTATAGCCGAGCAAAGCATCGAGCCGAGTCGAGCAAAGCGTCGAGCCGAACAAAGCGTCGAGCCAAACAAAGCGTCGAGTCAAGCAAAACGTCGAGCAGAGCGTCGAGAGCATTTTTTCAAACAAAAATAAATTTTCTGGAGCCACATAGCAGATCACGTAATTCGGTCATTGTTTTTTTCTCGATATATTTGCCATATACCTTCGTTGTTGGTCGTATGGACTTATTGCATATCAGACAACGCCTCGTCCGCGTTCAATGCCGAACTCAACAGTGTTTTCCTAAACTCGTTTACACTACTCCGTACATCTGTTTTCAACTTTTTTCGAGCAGAGCAAAGCGTCGAGCAGAGCAATGCGTCGAGCAGAGCAAAACGTCGAGCAGAGCAATACATCGAGCAGAGCAATACATCGAGCAGAGCAAAGCGTCGAGCAAAGCAATACATCGAGCAGAAGCAAAGCGTCGAGCAGAGCAAAGCGTCGAGCAGAGCAAAGCGAGCATTGCTTGAGACATTCACCCAAAGCCTTGGTTGACCGGAATGAAATGTTTGATATTGGCACTGTCTTTATAATGTCAATGTTTTGTCCAATGAAAACGCATTACGTCATGCAGTTTGACAGGTGTAAAATAATTTTCAATAACTGTGTCTGACTATACTTGTGTATCAGTATTTTTGATGATAACAAAAGTATAGCGACCTTATTCACATACATGCACATTCCCAAATACATGCAACAAGCTTTCGGTTTCATGTTATTGTTTCTATGAATTTGCGTATATATATCTTCATATATTTTCAACTATTTCAGGCGGGTATATTTTCGATGACGAATTTGCGAAAATGAAGTGAAAGTGAAACTCCAAAGATCGATAACATTTTTATATTTAGGGACCGGTCATAAAGTAACTGCTAGGGTGGGCTGGAGTGATTTGGGATGGGCCATGGAAAATCTTTGGGCAGTTGCGATGGGACGCCAGTTTTTTTGTATGTCCACGGTTGGGCCACCAAACAAAAAAAACCCATGCATGTCTACTTCAAAAAATAAAGATATTAATAATAAAAGTAAACAAAACTATCCAAATTATCAAATGCAAATGATGCTATTGAAGCCAGTACTTTGTTTATACAACAACAAGAAGTGGTCAAATCACAGCAAATACAACCAACTGGA